GCAAAGAAACCGAGGTTTCAAAACATTGGACGAAAATGAGGGTCACCAGGTGGGGGTCTTCCCGGGGGAGGTGCCCCAGGAGGGACCATGTTTCCTACGCTTCGTGGTGGGATCCAGTCCCTCTCAGCTCGCCCAGGAGGAGGCATCCAGTCCCTCTCTCCTCGAACAGGCGGTCCGCGTTCGGCTGGAATCCAGTCTGCCTCGGACCGAGGTGGTCCGGGAAATCTCCCTGGAAACCCGGGTCCTACTGGTCTTGGTCCAAAGGCTTCTTCAATGGGTGCAGGGGCCATTGGCCTTGACACCCGCATCTCTTCAAACCTCGGAGAAGGTCCTTGCTCAGGACGCGGAAAGGCGCCTTGAGGGACATGTGGTATAGGGGCTGGAGCGGGGGCTTGCGTTGGAAAACCACTGACCACTGGATGCTGTTGACGTGGACCCTCCATGAAAAACGTTTCGCGAGGTATCGTGGGTACTCCTGGAAAATGGCGACCATCCATAACCGGTACAGCGGCGACATTTCCAAAGGGCCTGTCACCCGGCAAAATAGGATGCGGGGGCACTGCTGGAAGGACCTCGCGGTGCGGCAATGGGGCCGGAAAGAAGGGTACTGCTTGAGGAAACATGGCGCGTTGTATCTCGTTATCAGCCTCCTCTCCTCCATCACTCTCCCCTCCCCCCTGCTCTCTCTGATGACGTCTCTTGATGTGCGACTGCAAGTCTCGCTGGGAGAAATAACTCCGACGGCATCCCGAGATTCCATAGCGGCTTCCGCCAACTGAACACACGTACACACTGCCCAGCGGTGCGCGTTCGATCCGCTGAACACCATCTCCGCACCTGAAGGGAAATTTGACGTCAAGAGAGTCATGCCTTGATTCATTGAATCAGTTGGAGATTGACAGGTTGTCTTAAACGCTAGAGCAACATTTTCTAGTCTGTGAGTCAATAAGCACTTAATCACTGACCGCAAGGGAAAAAGGTAGTTTCGTTTCCTCGAGACCCACAATATTCGCCTTAGCCTGCAGAGCAGGCGAGATTTTTTCGAGCGAGCGCTCACATCGTAAAAATTTTAGCCGCCATCTTGAATTTTTCATGTAGTGGAAGACTGGAGAGAGAAAGAAAGTTCTACCAAGGGGGTGAACGATAGGCAAGAGGAAGGATAGGGGAGGGAGTGGGGTGAAGAAAATCTCATTTTTCCCCTTCCCCATCCCCCACCGTCTAACATGGCGGTCTCAAGGTTGTAACGCTAACTCGCCCCAATAAGACGCCTGCACTGCGGGCTATATCCGCCTAAGTGAACATTGATGGTCTCAGGAAAACAAAACTCATTGTTTCCCGTGGGGCCAGGCACTTTGGTGTTTTGTAATACCTCCCAACTAAAAAGAAAAGAAAAGGGAAGAAAAGAAAAGAATGCACATTTTGGTTTATTTACTTGACAATGAAACTGAATTTCTCGGTCCTGAACAAATACGTGTACACTGTTGCCGTGGAAGACAAATATTTGACTTTGTAATACATTATAACATTACAGACATTTTATTCTTTGATGCAAATGTACCTTGGGCATTTTCCATTCCCCTTTTCAGCACATGTCAGGCAGAAGGAGTGTTTACATGGACTCTGCACAGGAAAAAACGATATAACAGGAAAATTAGCCAAGCATCTGATGAGTAATTGAGACAAGGTGGTTCTAACTTTTAAGTCTGTGGATGAAACCCTAGTGTGTGACCATTCAAATGAAAGCTACTGAGCAGTACTTTCATGTGATGCTAATTGGTTTACATCATATCAACTTGGCCCTTCTGGGTTAATAACACATGTACTAACCAGTCGACCATAGACCAGAATAGGCAGGGAACACTTCTCGCACAGATGGAGAAGTGGATCCTGTACCTTCTGCCCGATAGGAACAATCTGTAAAAAGATAAGAACAGAAGATCAAACTATCTGAAGTTAAAAAAGAACATTTGACACAAACAATCAGATAAATTGATACACAATGTAGATTACACATCACTATCATAGTTGCAGAACAGTGATAATAGAGTCAACAAGTCCATTCAAGAATCACATGGTCTGCAACATTGTCTGTGCTGAAGATTTGTTGCAATGACAGTCTGTGGAATCCCAAAGACTGTTAGAGGGAATAAAGCACAAAAATGTGCAACAAGGCCAACTGTTACAAGGACCTATGCACAAGAACCTTGCTACAGACTCTGGTCCAGAATTTTTCTCAACCAGGCCTGATATGTAGCTTGGAGGTACTACAGAACCAGCAGGTTGATATTACATATTCTTAGTGTGGGTTCTAATGTCTAGGTGGTATTTTGTACCTAGTGTTTTCAGGTGTCCCAAATAAAAATTCCAAAACTGCAATCACCCACATGATCAAAAGTGTCTTAAAGTGTACCTACATGTAACCCTAAAATTTTTTCGCTAAAACGAACCTAATTGTTATTTGAAATACTTCTGCAGAAAAGTTTTTGGATTCGCTTAAATCCTCGATTTTCTGTGCCTGGACGAAATCTTGAAATAGCAACAAAAATGCCGCCATGTCAATAAAATCTGATTACTGACCAGCAGGCAGGCTGATTTGAGTTCAAATAGGACAGCGCAAGTGTTATTTGTGCAATAAGGCAAACTCTCTGGGCAGGTACCTCATTGTAGTTTCTACCTTTTTGCTTTGCTAGTAGTATATATATTAATTAGGTTCCCATTCTCAAATTGAAACATTTTGGGGGTATGCCCCAATGACTCTTCAACCCCAAGATACCAGACACAAACACCCCCCACCCCCTTCTTGTCTTCCATTTCTACTTGTAATCAAACTTGTGATTGACAAAATTGGACCCTTGCTTGGAATCCATCCCATTTTGTTAATCACTCATATCATTAACAACTGAACTGAATTCCACTCAGTCTTATTACCATATTATAAGTATTAGAGAAAGGACTTACTTGGTGATCCCACTTGAGTTCTCTCATGACAACCACTTGTGAAGCTGATCCCGTGGATGCAGGAGATTTCTGCTTCTTTTTACTTTCTTTATCACCTGAAAAAATGTGTTAAAATGATTAGGGTTTGACCTCCTACTTGTAGCAGAGTAGCCCACACCTTTGGCAGTGGTTAATCCCTTTTACAAACAAAAAATATATGGCTCTCGAGAAGCCAGCATTCCTTCTCACCCTGACCCAATACAACTGTACAAAGCCCACCAGAAAAATAGCTAATTACACATCTACATATTAAAGTAAAAAGATTCTCTCTTCAGTTGAAAAAGATGCTANAGACGACTGGGAATGACTCAGGCATTACACTACGTTTTGTAAGAGGAGGCAGAGTGGCCAAGTGGTTGGGGCACTTGACTTGAAATCCAGAGTTAGTGGGTTCAAGTCCTACACGTACTCTCAACACTAAGCTAGAGTGTTTCTTTTTTGATATTCGCTAATTGTCCACAAATATTAGCTAATATCTAGCTTAACACTCTGACACTTAAATAAAGTTCATTCTAACACCTTCCAGCGGACGAGTTTTTGTCCTTTTTTTGGTCTTCCCTTTGATTTCTTAGTTGTCACAGATGACCAGACTACTGCGAATATGGATCCCTGTGGAATGTTGGTTCATCACAGGTTTACATCCAGCATTTTGATTTAGTTGCCTTCACAGTTTGCTAGCACCCATTTTGGAATTGAGAAGAAGCAAAAGAAAAATAATCAACGTCGATAAATACAAATATGAAGCGGCTGTTTCTCACAATCTAATCAAAATGGTCGCCTCAGCTCACGTTACTCCTCGTTGCTATAATGTTATAGCAGACTAGAAACCCGAAACAGAAAGTACGTAATTCTAAATTACTCCACAGAGAGTAATTGTTCGAAGAATAGATTGCCAAAGAACTAAGTCAATCAAGGCACTGCTCATAATATCGTCAATAAGTTTGACAACTAAGTTGTTGTACAGCAGCTGGGCGAGCTGACGAGATGCGTTTACTTTTAAATTCGAATTTCAGCATCGCAAGGCTTGAAAAATCGTTTCTGTTACTTCTAAATAATAGAAAGACGTGCTTCCTAGCGAAATTTACTTTATCAAACTTCCAACGTAAAGAATTAAAGAGTTGTTCATCAAGAAAAATGTAAAGGAACACTCATGCTTACCGTCCTCCATCTTGGATTTTCCTGGACTTCGAATGAATTCCGCTGACCAGGTTGATTACATTTCCAAAAGCCGTGCCAGCGAAAGATAACGGTTCGCGGGACGGGACTACGAGTGACCCAGCGAATGCATTCGGGAATCTTCCCAAGGGTCATGCGCTGCATAAATATCTCTCTCGATCAAGGCTTGACCTAGTAAACCGAGAATACAAGTGAGAGGCTAACAGGAGTGGTGTAAGTCGGATGGGTCGCGAGCTGGCGTGACTCTGAGAGGTTTGATTGCAAGTAAAATTGTCACGCGATAACACGCTCCCATGAGCTCCCTTATTCACCTCTACACCTAGAATTTAAAAGCTGGGTAAACTTGATCACAGAGGTCCTCTAAAACCCGAAAACTACAGCTCAGTATACATTCACATGGAAGGAAAAGAGATCTACTTTGGGTTCGGCTCAAATATGAGCAAGAGAAAAATGACTGAGCGAGGCACGAAGTTTGTCTCGCGTGAAAGCGCCATACTTCGAGGTTATCGTGTTGAATTCACCATCTGGAAAGACGACGGTTATGGCTACGCTAACATTGCCCCAGACGATGATTCCATAGTTTATGGCGCTCTTTATTACTGCGAAAAAGGCAGTATGGCTAAGTTGGATGAATTCGAAGCCGGTCGACTTCATCGAATTATTGTTAAGGTTGAGAAGGAAAGCGGAGAACTAGTGGAGGCTTCAGCCTTTCAAGCTTACGACGAGTTCGTTAAAGAAGGCCTAAAACCAAGTGAGGCTTACTTGAACGAAATGCTTGAAGGAGAGGACATCATTCCTAAAGAATACGCCGAATATTTAAGAAGTTTGAAAGCTGGAAAGTGAAGCGCAACAGAGCTGGCGTTAAACATGATTAATGCAAATATATACAGAAGCGATTGTGTTTCTTATCAGTGTGAGACAAAGCACGAAGCTTATTCTTCAGTTAGTTGAATAACGTGTACACCCTTGAGACTATCTGCGAATGCCCGCATGAAATTCTTCATATGCAGATATTTCTTTTGTACATCCTTTTATATGTTTCATTCAATCATCGGGAGAGCCTTCGTATTAAGGCAGAGTCTACCCGGTATATCCTACAAAGGTTTAACTGTGTTTTTTTATCCACAGGAGTAACAGGTGTAAACAAAGAGAGGACTTTGAGCGCTACTGTTATTGTAATATTCGTGCTGCACCTTGGTCATATACAATATATTAAATTTTGAACGTTAAAAAAATAAACAGTGTTGAGAACCATCATGTTTACCTTGACGAGTAAGGGTCAGACCATGATTTTTTGAGGGGGGTGGGGTTGGGCATTTTTTCTGGGGCATGAAAGTTTTTTCTCACTTTGAAGAGGGTTGCCCATGATTTTTTTTGGCGGGTACAAGAATTTCCTATAGTCAAACACAGGACCTGGATACACAGCACTTGCTCTATTCCCCCCTCTCTCCCCCCACCCCCCAAAAAATGATGTTGGGTCCCGCGTTCGTCACCAGCTTGCTCTCGGCCTCGTAGCGACTGGTGACTGAAGGACTGCGTGGGCTTCACAAACTGTTAGCCAGACCACATCATCGATATCATGGAGATGTACTTTGGCTTCGCTTCAAGCTTGAGCGAAAGAAAAATGGCAGAACGCGGAGCTAAGTACCTCTCACGTGAAAGCGCAGTACTTCCAGGATTTCGTCTTGAATTCAGCAGCAACTGGAAAGATGACGGCTTTGGCTACGCTAATATTGTCCTCGACGAAGGATCTGAGGTTCATGGCGCCCTCTACGCGTGCGAAAAAGGAACCTTGACCAGTTTGGATCGTGAACACATTCACGAAGGCAACAGATTTTGCCGAGTTATTGTTCAAGTCGAAACTAAAAATGGCGAAGCAGTGAATGCTGTAGCGTATCGAGCTAACGAAGAGTTCGTTAACAAGCAGCTTAAACCGAGTGAAGCTTATCTGAACGAAATTCTTGAAGGAGAAGACATTATTCCGAAAGACTATGCCGAGTATATACGAAGCTTTAAGGATTGAAAGTGAACGAGACTATTAAGGTGACATCGGCTTTGAGCCGTGTACCAGAATATAACTCATTAACAATTAGACCCGTAGCCCGCAAGGGCTACGGGTCAATAGCCCGTGAGGCGAAGCCGAATGGGCTATTGACCCGTGGCCCTTGAGGGCCA